ACTGGCGGCAGAGGGTGTCTGAGTTGGCAGGCATCATGTTCCTCTTTTTCAGTCGAAAGCAGCCTGCCTCAGTCACATGAAACCCAGACTTCTTGAATGGAGTTGAAGGTTTCTCCTAAGTAGCAGGTTGTGTAAGAGAGAGGCTCCGGTCGGGCGCGGTGGCTCAAGCCTGTAATCCCAGCACTTTGGGAGGCCTAGATGGGTGGATCACGAGGTCAAGAGATCGAGACCATCCTGGTCAGCATGGTGAAACCCCATCTCTACTAAAAATACATAAAATTAGGTGGGCATGGTGGCGCACGCCTGTAATCCCAGCTACTCTGGAGGCTGAGGCAGGAGAATTGCCTGAACCCAGGAGGTGGAGGTTGCGGTGAGCCGAGATTGCGTCATTGCACTCCAGCCTGGGTACCAAGAGTGAAACTCTGTCTCAAAAAAAAAAAAAAAAAAAAAAGGAGAGAGATGCTCCTAGAACAAAGAAGCAATCTAAAGAGAAGGTTGTTGGGAGGAGGGGGGCGCAGAGAGAGAACAGTCCCCAAAGGGGCCTTTCCAAATAAACTGTAGCTCTTTAAAAAATTCTTTGTTCTTCCCAATGAAATAGTTCCATCTCCAAGAAGCCACACATCCGAATGAACACTCATGGGGTGGCAAGGGCTAGCTGTGAGCTTCTTCTAGTGTGTTGAATGTGCATTACACTTTAGGCTTTTGTCCCATATTGGCCAGTAACTCATGGAGTGATCTTGAACACTGTTGTGCAACCATAGTTCTCTTATCTGCAAAATGGGAAAAATAATACTGGCTGAAACCAGGAAATTTAGCTGGGCTGAATGATTTCTTAAGGCCTCTTCCAGCTCTGGGATGTATGACTCTAGAACATACATCTGTATGTATGTAGCTTTCAACATTTTTCATTTATTTTGCCTTTTGAATCTCCAAATCTATACTATTCTTTCTTTGATGCAAAAATAAATCAAATTGGCCACAGAGGCAGGTAGAGAGAAGAACAACTTGGGCAAGCTGTGTTGATAATTGAGGGGCCCCTGAGTTTGTAGTCACTACAGAGAGAGGCCCTCATGGATTAGGACCCCAAAGAAAGAAAAGTCAGGTTTTGGGGGGACTAGAGTTAGAATATGGTAGGGCACAGGAATCAAGGCCCAAGAAGTGAGGAGAATGGTGGGCTTTATGAGAGGCAGCCTAACTCACAGAGTGAGTAAGAACAACAGCTGTGGGGCACACAGTCTAGATCCCAAGCCTAGCCTCCCTGCTTCCTAGCCACATGACCTTAAACTAGTCATTTTATTTTTCTGAGCTGCAGTGTAAAAGCTGGGTCATAATAGCACCCACCTCAGGACTAAATAATATCATGCTTAGCACAGTGCACAGCACGTAGTTAACATTCAATAAATGGTTGCTGTTGTTTTGCTGTCATCATTACTGGAAATTCACCAGGCATTTATTATTTTAAATTTTATTTTATTTTAAGTTCTGGGGTACATGTGCAGGATGTGCAGGTTTTTACATAGGTAAACATCTGCCACGGTGGTTTGCTTCACCTATCAACCCATCACTTAGGTATTAAGCCTTACATGCATTAGCTATTTTTCCTGATGCTCTCCCTCCCACCACCCCACTGACAGACCCCAGTGTGTGTTGTTCCCCTCCCTGTGTCTCATTGTTCTCATTGTTCAGCTCCCACTTATGAGAACATGCAGTGTTTGGTTTTCCGTTCCTGTATTAGTTTGCCAAGAATGATGGTTTCAGGACTAAATAAGATCATGCTCAGCACAGTGCACAGGACATGATCTTGCAAAGGACATGATCTCATTCCTTTTTATGGCTGTATAGTATTCTGTGGTATGTGCCACTTTTCTTTATCCAGTCTATCATTGATGGGCATTTAGGTTGATTCCACACCTTTGCTACCATGAATAGTGCTGCAACGAACATACGCATGCATGTATCTTTATAATAGAATTATTTATATTGCTTTGGGTATATACCCAGTAATGGGATTGCTGGGCCAAATTGTATTTCTGGTTCTAGGTCTCAGATGGTACCTCATCATAGTTTTGATTTGCATTTATGAACTGAGTTGTTCTCGTGGGTCTGGGGCACTACACAATGGGCATCCCATAATATTAAGAATGTGGGCTCTGGAATCCATGTGGGCTCTGGCCCAGGTCTTAATCAGTATGGCCACTGGCAAGTAACAAAACCACCCCATGCCACAGTTTACTTGCCTCTAACAAGTAAGATGTCTACTTCACATATTATAGTGAGCTCTACTTCAGATTATTGTGAAGAGCTCTACTTCACAGATTATTCTTTTTCTTTTCTTTTTTTTTTTTGAGACATAGTCTCACTCTGTCACCCAGGCTGGATGGAGTGCAGTGGCACGATCTCGGCTCACTGCAACCTCTGCCTCCTGGGTTCAAGTGATTCTTCTGCCTCAGCCTCCTGAGTACATGGGATTATGGGAGCATGCCACTATGCCTGGCAAAAATTTTTTTTTTTTTTTTTTTTTTTAGTAGAGACATGGTTTCGCCACACTGGCCAAGCTGGTCTAAAACTCCTGACCTCAGGTGATCCACCCACCTTGGCCTCCCAAAGTACTGGGATTATAGGCATGAGCCACCGTACCTGGCCACAGATTATTATTTCTAATAAGAATGTTAAAAATTATAGAAAAAAACATGGCATGTAATGAACACTCAGTGGACATGGGCTTGGCCTTTGGATCAATGACCGGCTCAATGAGGAGCTCCTGGTACACTGTCTGTCCTTTCTGGGATCAGCCTACAGGTACAAGAACATGGCTCCTACTTCCTGAACACATGACTGCAGTCTTAGTTTTGGCATAAGTGACACCCCAAATCGGGATGGAAGATTAAGTCCACAGTTAATACAGGAAGAGAATCCATGATGTTCTGGCCAGGAGATGAAAAGGTAGCCGCTTGAGCTTTCATAATTAGCCATTTCCATAACCCTTCTCTGCCTTCATTCCTCTATTTTCCTCCCTCCATCCGTTTCTCCCTCCAGTGGGAACTGATTACTGTAGACTGTGTAAGTAGAAGGGCTTAACTCCATTTGTGGACATAATGCTCCCCCTTCCCTAATTACCACTGTCTTCTTATGAACGTGTTCATTTTGGCTCACAGAAGAAACACATGTCCTGAGACTTTAGAGTTACCTTCTAGGAGTGGCAACAGGCATCCTGACAGGCCAAAGGGGCAGTGATCGCCCCTGTTCCCATGACTGAATTGAGTATCTCCATGATTCACTTCTAGAATCCAAGAGAAGCAAGATTTCTATAGCACAACTGGATTTAGGGCAAGCGGACTGTTTTGCTACTTAATTTTTTCAACACTTGTAGTATCCAGAAATTGTTGATAGTACTTAATGGAAGGTAGGAAGCATTCTGCAAGGGGGTGCAATTTGGGATGCTGTACTTTAATAAGTTGAGTAAAGAGTTTTTTCAGGGATTTGTAATGCAATGATGACATTTGATAATATACGTGTAAGTGGACAGGAAACTTGGGTGACCAGTCAATGTGAGTATAGGTTGGAATGGGAAAATCAGTAACCAAAAACTGGAAAGGTTAGGAGAAGAGGCCTCAGAGATACAGAGGCAGGGATCCTCAGAACTTATACTTCTCTACCTTGACCAGAACATACCTCTGCATTGAGCTGACCACAGGCAAGTCTGGCTAGGAAATCTCTGCATTACCTCAAAGGAGTCAATATGGGGAGTATTAACACCAGCCCCTTCCCATCCCACCTCAGGCCCACCTGGGGATGAAGAAATCATAAAACCTAAGAGAATAAGGAAAAATTTAGACTTCTGGGAGTCTGGGGCATTTTTTTTTCTTCCTTTCTCTTGTTCATATGTCATTTTGTAGCTGGGAGTACCTTCTAGGGAGGCATCTTTGGCCCTGGAGAACTCAAAAGAGCCAGAGTGGATCCCAGAAGAGAGGATGCAGAAAGTGTTGGCATTCGTTCTAACAGAGGCCTTGGGGGCAACTGCAAACAGAACCTTCTTTTAAGATGGTCCAATTTGGTTCTCCAGAGAAAAACTATGCAGGCATTCTGGGCAGGACTGTCTTGTGCCTTCAAGTGTGTACTCTATCTCTTGAGAACCAGAGTGTGGCATACTGGGCACAGAAGGACAAAGTCCAACAGAGCCAAGCAATGCCTCTGGGGCCTAGATAGGGAGGAGTTCTGATTTTTTTTCAAAAATCCAAAAGATCCTATTACACAGAATAAGATCAAGCCCAAGTGGAATTTTCTCTAATTTCATTTCTAATTGTCCCATTCATGTGTCTTTTCCTGGTAAAAAAGAATTCATTTAAAAGTTATCAAAGGCTAAGACTAAAATCAGTACCAAAGAGAAGATGGGATGTTGCTGAAGCTCTCCTGCTGGGGTCAATATCACTTGATCACAGCTTGGTCAATATCACTCAATGTCACATTTATTTTTACCAATTTTCCTGTTAAAAGGTTCATGTTTTGGGCCTTGGCTTTAGCCTACTGTTAATAAACTGCTTGTTTACAATAAAAACATGTTATTTGCTTTCTTGAACATTTTATGATGCCAAAGAAAATAGTAGATAGTATGTTCTGCTTTCAGCAAACCCAGTATGTGAATGCTTCGATTTACATATAAAGTAGGGGCAGATATTGACAAAATGCTTCAACATAATTATTTATGTAACAAGATTTTCTTGTGCATTTTGAAACAACTTATGGCCAGTTTTTCAGAACACATCAGTCACATTAATCAGTTCACACATGCCTCACTGTGGCAAACATGGGAGTTTGCTGTCTGAATGCAGGTGTATTTCCTTAAAGGATCTTCTGGTCAAAGGTATTACAACCAATAGGAACAAGAACAAAATAGGTGTTCCTGAAGCATTCCTTTCTATTCAACTTCCACCAAAGTGATACTGAAGCTAGTTGGATAATTCTTTTCCTAAGGTAGGAATACAGTTTTGTTGGACACAAAGTGAGGCAATAGGAAACATTTTTTAATGAACAAACAACTTTCACACAGACTGTATCACATTGTTATTACAACATAGATGAGCTGAAATGTTTTTGTACAGATTTGGAGGAAGGGAATCCTAAAAAAAAATCAAGCATATAGAGGTAGTTGAATAGCAACATGGGGGAAAAAAGCATTATCTTATATTTCCCTTCACTTCGTTACAGTGCAAGAGTAAAATGGCTGCTTAACAAATAGGAAATAAACACACACACGGTTGCCACTGTTTACGTGGCTTGCTTGATATTTTAATCCTGGCATTACTTACAAATGTATATGATGTAACTAGTTTATCTAAAATAAGCCTATGATGCCACATTGACATATTTGCTTTCCTTGTATTTATTAGTGTTGCTTTAACAATAATCAATGTTAATCCACTTTTAAAATTACACATTAGCTACAGTGTTGCTTTGTAAACTTCTGTTAAATCACGTTGGCTGCAAAAACATTTTAAACAGCTACAGAGTCATGAAGCAAAAGCTTTAAAGTGACACCAGGAACAGAGATTACAGGCACTTCTCTCTGGAGGTTAACTCAGCATGTTTGGAAATACACATTTGTAAGTGAAAATTTCTTCATTTCCCCTCTGGATGTGCATAACTCAGATTATTAAATAGTTGTACAGTGTAATAAGGTGCGAGCTGTCATTCTAAGATGAATTGAATGCGTACCTTTTATGTGGCTCCTTTTCCTTCCTTCTCTTTGTACTCAGAAGGGGCACAAACTGAAGGCCATGCTGCCACTTTTTAGAATGGTCCTCTATCAGAAATCAAAACTTCATTCCTCGGCCCCAAGAATGGATTGAAAACCTCCCCTTTTCCATTGTTTGGGCTGCCCTTCATTTGCATCTTTGTCGCACAACACTGCTATGATTCTGCCTTGAGGGGCAGAAATGGATGCGAAGTCAACATGTTGGGAACTCAAGGAATGAGTCCCTGAATAAAACTCCCATCTTGGAAATAGAGTTGGTGTGGGGAACACAGTCCTCCCCAATGCATTGCAGTCTGTCAACAGTATGCAATCTATTGACAGTGAGAGACCTCTGGGTGCTGTGAACCAGCCTCAGGAGCTCCGCTGCTCCAATGGCCAGTCACAGGGGATTAACTGAGCCCGGGCCAGCTCCACAGGTAGAGCTGGAAGTGCCACATGTGCAATGACTTGGCTTGCCCCTCTTTGCCAAGGCAGCACTGGGCTAGAAGCAGTTGGCCTTCAGAAAAGGCAAACTTTACAAATACTCATTCTCTGCCCAACTAAGTCAGGGGCAGGCACTCTTTTTTCCAAGTTGTCTACAGAAAATTGGTTTGTTTTTCATTTTCTACATTTTGCTGGTTATTTGCTAGCAGCAGTAGTACAGTACAAAGCAGAAAGGCATGATGTCTGCTTGCTACGTAGTATATATATGTGTGTGTACACACACACACACACACATGTACAGACATACAAAAATTAACCAAAAATGACCTAGTAGGCAAAGACTGGGTCAGTCGTGATAGACAGAAGGATCAAATAAGTGGCACTATCTATGGTGGGGAAGTCTTATTTTTCTGGCCTAGATTTAGCTTTATGTCTTTCTTCTATATACCCTTAATTCCCGAGCTACACAAAAAAACCAATTTCCCAGTGTAAAAATGGTCAAGACCAATTGATTACCTTGTTAAGGTACATCCCAAAGAAAGCCAAAGCTTAGCCTTGCATCCTGCCTTGCAACTAGACAAAGTATTTAACATAGTGGAGGCTCAGTTTTCTCATCCATAATATGAGGATAATAACTGCTCTCACGGGATTGACAGGAGAATGATTTAATGAGCTCAGGTATGTGAGATCACCTGGCTCAGTACCTGGTATATGGGGATCTCAGTACATTTTTGTTGAATCTGTTACTTTGGGCTACATAAAGAAATACCATCAACTAAGCACAGAAGTCACAAATTGTAAACTCTAATCATCTGGCACGGGTAAGGTTTTCAATACATTTTGGGGAACAGGAGTGATAAGCTGGTTATTCTAATGGAGCTAGAACTTAAGGCTTCCATTCTATCAGAAATCCTAGGCTGGGCGTGGTGGCTCATGCCCACGCCTATAATCCCAGCGCTTCGGGAAGCCCAGGTGGGTGGATCATCTGAGGTCAGGAGTTCGAGACCAGCCTGGGCAACATGGTGAAATCCCATCTCTATTAAAACTAGAAAAATTAGCCAGGTATGGCGGTGCATGCCTGTAATCCCAGCTACTTGGGAGGCCGAGGCAGGAGAATCACTTGAACCTGGGAGGCGAAGGTTGCAGTGAGCTGAGATTGAGCCACTGCATTCCAGCCTGGGTGACAGCATAAGAGAAAGAAAAGAAAAGAAAGAACAAAAGGAAGGAGGGAAGGAAGGAGGGAGAGAGGGAGGGAGGGAGGGAGGGAGGGAGGGAGGGAAAGAAGGAAGGAAGGAAGGAAGGAAGGAAGGAAGGAAGGAAGGAAGGAAGGAAGGAAGGAAGGAAGGAAATCCTAGACCTACAAGCTTTTTAGCCCTTATTGAGAAGTGGGAGAAACTTTTCTGGTATAGGAATGATGCCTATCTCTAACCTTCATTTGTTCTCCAGTTACTTCATGTTCACAAACAGATTTAACTCCCAAAATAATTATCTGTAAATCATCAAATTATGGGTCAAAAAATCAGTGGCATGGATCCCTCCAACTAAGTTTAAAGGGGTTTCAAGTGGATACTGTGTGTAAAGGCAGTGTTTTACACAAATGTAGGCTCTTGATGATATTCGATAACTACGACTAATCTAATAGTAGCTATTATTTCTTGAATGAATTCTAGGTGTGAGACACTGTGCTAACTGATTTATACATTCTCTCATTTAATTTTTGTCACAACCCTATATGCAGAACTGTCACTATCATTTCATAGATTAGAAAACTGGGGCTTGACGAAAGTTAAATCAATTTCCAGAAGTAACATATCTAACAAGTAAAGAAGCATTCAGCCCTTTTCTTTGTTGCATTTACACTAGATAGCAAGAAACTACTCTATTAGGATTGTGTTATGACCACCTGGTCTGGGAACCAGGTGGAAGGGGGAGTCTTTTCTGTTCCTTGAGCCTTGTAGAGTTTGCTTGGGCAGAAATCATGCCGATATGTCCATCTATTTCCATTGTTCACCTGCCCAGACTAGCTCCAAACATCAAATCTAATAAACACAATGCTCTGGCAATATAATGTCTGTTAAGTGAGTGCAGAAAAGATCATCTTGTTTCTGCTTACATGAATCTTTTCTATGTTGTCTGGATCATGTCATTCTCCCTTTCCTGTTTCTAGCTACAGTTGGTGATGAGAGAAGCAAGCATTACCCTCTCACCTTAACAGAGCAATGGGTTGTGAGTGAATGATGCAAAAATCATTCACTGTCCAAAATCACATGGTATAATTTGCATGAAGGTACAAATAGTACAATTCATTTCCTCCCTGCTCTAATTGTTTCACTCTGCCAATATAATACTTCTGTACTCGTGGTACCTTGCAGGCTGTCCTGCCACTGAAGGACTCAAACTAGCACTAAGCAAGCTAAATAAGGACTTACTCTTACTCCCTACACTGTATTCTCCTGCTATACTGAAATATTTCACCCATGCAACTAAGGAGCAAGACAGTACTTAGATAAAATAATTGTTGTCCAGGCTGGAGTGCAATGGTGCAATCTTGGCTCACTGCAACCTCCATCTCCCGGGTTCAAGCGACTCTCCTGCCTCAGCCTCCAGAGTTGCTGGGATTACAGGTGCACGCCACCACACCTGGCTAATTTTGTATTTTTAGTAGAGATGGGGTTTCACCATGTTGGTCAGGCTGGTCTCGAACTCCTGACCTCAAGTGATCCACCCGCCTCAGCCTCCCAAAGTGCTGGGATTACAGATGTGAGCCACCATGCCCAGCCATCTGGTTTCTTTAAAAAGATTATTAAAGGGTTCTACTCTATCTGGCTTATTTACATTTTTAATAAGAAAAAATCCTTCATCAAGTGTTTCTGCCCAGGTCTTGATCCTAGAACCCTGATGAGAGGTGTGGTATGAAGGCTAGTTGGGCATGGCTGTGATGTGCCACACTGAACACCATTTCCTTTGAAGAGTTAATTATAATCCTGCCTAAAATCCCATTCCTAAGTGCACTGGGGAGAAATTAGAAACACTTACAATTAGACTGCTGGAACAAATGGCTATAATAAAAATAATTCTTTCAGCTTTGTTCTGTATTACACACAGAAAATGAAATATTTTACTTTACCTTCGCATATACCATAATCTAGGGCAAATCCCTTAAGTATTTTATACTGTTTAGTTCAAACTGAAAAAAAAGTGGACTCTGAAGACAGATGATCTTAGCATCATTCTGAATTTCTTTTAAGCATCCACTTGGATAGATATTGAAATGGTCTAAGAACTAGTGTCAATGTAGTTAAAAAAAAGATTAAAGCAAAAACTGCACACTTCTAGTATTGTTATTTCCCCCTAGGTACATGGTAAACCACATCAATAAATAAAGCAATGGACTTTTAAATAGTTACAAACACACATGTAGAAAAAAAGAATACAGTAGTGCAAAAAATAAATTATTAAAACAGAAAGAAGTATGAAAATTATTTTACACAATGCTCTACAAACCTGAACCACTTGGAATGAGACCTCAAGTCAGTGAAATTATACAGCAACATTATTAGTATCTTTGTTTTCACATTTCAACCACGCAGTCATTGATCTAGGAAAGGAATACTAAAGCAAAACCCCTTTAAACTTTTGGAAATTTTAATGTTCAAATCAAATTACGTTTTTCTGGGCTCTTAAATACCTCTGCTGTTTATGCAATTATGCAGCATGTCAAGAAGCATCTTAAGACAGAAAGTTTCAAATAGGTCACATTCTTTTGGTCTTTCTACTCAAATTTTTCTATGTGATCAACAGCAGGCTGATGCCTCTGTTTGACACCCTCTTCTGTTATTATTGCAATTAGATATATTTACAAGAAGACTCCCCCGAGTGGCTGTGGGGAAGGTGGGAGCTCCTCTTCGGTAATCCACTCACTAGTTTTGGTTTCGGGACATGAAGGCCAGGACTCGTCGAATACCATTCAGTCTGTCCTTTAAGGATGTCATTGCTAGAAAGGGGAGCTGAGCTCGGCTTTCCAAAGGTAGAACTGCTAATGTCCACCAGCACCAGGCTGGGCCATTCGGGTTCATCTGCAACAGAGAAACACAATGGTATCATCCTATCCCCATCCAAGAACATCAGTCTGCAGGTTTCTAAATGCTCAAGGTAAAGACCCCAGGTAGAATGACTTCTGTGTGGCAGATTGCTAATTGCCCCTGTATCTATTTTCCCCCTTATTTTAGCAGGGCATAGAGCCACCCAGAAAAAAAGACTAAATTTCTCAGCTTCCCTTACAGCTAGGTGAGGCCATGAGACAAAGTTCTGGCTAATAAGATGTAAAGGGAAGTGATATGTGTAACCTCTTGGTCATGCTCTGAGAAAGCAGCATATGCCCTCTGCCTTCTTCTTTCTCTCCCTTTCTCCTAGCTAGAACATGGACATGATGAGGATCAGCCTTCCTCAATCAAGAAGACAGTCTAAGGATGTTCAAGCTTTGTGATGAAGGAGCCTAGGTTCCTAAACGCTCTCATGGAATAGAGCTGTCCTAGCTGCCGAGGACTTAGCCCCTCCATCTTGTTTAAGCTCCAGTCATTTTTGGTTCTTGTTAAAGCAAACCAACCAATACCCTAACAGATACCCTATGCCTCCTAACCAATGTGATTTTACAAGCTGGTATCCACTATGTAGTCTCTTCCACTTCTAAGATTCTGCCGAGGTCCTTTGGACTGATGCATTTAACATGCAGGCCTTCAATTCCCATGACCCCTTGGCTTTTGCATGTCTTTTAAGTCCCCTCATTTCCTTGCTGTGGCTGAAGCAATAGTCCAGATATATCACGTCACTATACAGGGCCACTGCTATCTTCTCCCCTAAAACCAAAGGTTATGATTTACATTTCCAAAGAATTACAACCCACTTTGCAAAAATTCCAAGTAGAAAACATTCATATTAGAAATACATTCTGCCCCTAGATTTTCTTTTAATAAAGAGCTTTCATATTCCAAATAAATCCTTCCCCAAAATTCTGTTTGTAAGCAGCTTCCCTGGCACATGTTTTAGACATTGGGAACTTATTTTCTACTAAGCCTAAAACAAGCTTTCTGCCCATAACTTTCATAAGGTTGGTTGTGGGACTGAAGAGAACCATTCTGATCAAAGTGCCTACACCTGAAATTATTTGGCTGCAAACTTCCTCTGAACTTCACCAAATCTCACTGCCTTCTTTGCTTCTTTGTGCCTCTAGCTGCATTTGCATTCTGTTTTTCCCTCTCTGAAGTTGGCAACATGCTCTCCCTCCTATGATCAGCTCTGAATATTAGACTGATGTTCTGAACTTTCTTTCTCAGGATCATCAACAGAGATATTTCAGCTGGTTTTAACATTTGTGGCAGTTTCTAAGAAACCTCCTCCTGACAGAACATTCTTATCTGTGGGACCACTGGGGATGCATCATTGGCTGGCGCAAACTGGGATGGGTTTGGGTTTTTCTTTTTTGTTGGTGCTGCTTCTGCCAAAGCAACATAGTAACAGAACTAAGAAGAAAGGAAGTGAAACCCAAGATTTCAACTTTCTATGTCATTAGCCTTTATGAATCACACTGTAGCATCTGTGTTTTCTCCTGTTATCATTGCTGATCTATATCTTTTGCCTGACTAGGGGAGAATACTTCCCGGAAAATGAAGGGGAACATTAAGCTTGATCGTGAGCTTGTTCAGAGGTACATGCCGCAGTCCTGACTCACCATGGCCCAGAGCCAGGAGCTGGGTCACAGGAAGCACTAACTGGCCTTTCTCCCTTGAAAACTCATGATGCCTTTGCAGGGGGGAAAGGAGCCACCTCTGTGGTCTGAGGAAAGCAAGACATTGCAGTTCATTAGGGAACAGACTGGTGTCTTAGAGTCTCAGAATGCAAAAGGAAGAGGGGGCTTTAGTACACGCTTCATGTCAAGGACAAAGTTGAGAAAAGAAAAGGGATCTTCCCAAGGTCATACCCAAGGTAAGCAGGTCTGAATATGTATATTTAGATTTTTCTTTTGTGAGAGTTGGGGATGAGCATAAGTAAAGAATCAAGAAGTTCTGTAAGTGTTGATTCAGGAGAGCCAGCTCAGAGCATAGGAAGAGACGGTGGTGAGGAAATATGTGGTTAGGTTATCTCCAGCCTTGTCCTAGAAAGAAAGTATTCCCTGATTTATGCCAGGCAAGCAAAGCTTGGTGACACTTAACCATCTCCACTCTCCTGGAGAGCTTCTGATCTGCAGCTTGATCTTGCAAATGGGCCTATCTCCCAGGAAGAAGACTGATCAGTAGAAACTAACAAACTACTTCTAGTATAACTCAACCAACAAGTAAATTTAATGATAGGGTCAGTTTTCTCAGGAGCTGTTCAGCCCTGGTGAGGAGAAGAGCAAGGGTCTAGACTTGCAGGGCTAAGCATAGATAGAGCAGGGCATGAAAAGTTTCTGTGGTCTTGCAGTTGTAATCTTATAAGGGTAGCTGGCCCTATCCTTGTTCCCAAAGCAATGAGGGAGAGGGTTATGGAGTTCCCTGAAAGCAGCAGCCTTTGGTCTCAGCTCCCAGGACACCCTTCTCTTAATTCCTGGCCTTTGCACATATCTTGTCACCCTAACATTACCATGGTGTGAATCTGGACTCCCATGGAAGGTTCTTCTGTTGGTGGGATCTGTGTTCCCATTCTGTTATCTTACTTAGCTCTCAAAACCTGCATTGGATCCAACTTCCTACTGCTTTACTTTAGTTACCCCAATTCTAACTTGGGATCTTTTTGGTCTTACTCATGACACTCACTGTGCAGCCAAATACCACCAAATTAAATCCATCTTTCTCTCTGCATTCAATGTGCTGAATGGTAACCACATACCCATCTAATCACAAACACTAGGCACTCTCTTCTGGTGGGGCAACCCATTTAAAATAGACATTTTTCTATACCTGGGGATCAGCATCTTTCTCCGGCATGGGACCAAAGTGATTGAGTATCCGATTCTTTAGGGATGATTTGAGCGAATGAAACCACGATGACGCTTGCTCATAGACAGAGTTATGTAATCCCATGAGCTCAGCACAAGCCTCTCCCTGAACCTGAAAGTATCAAAGTGGAAGTGAAACATTCTGTACCCTCTCCATCACTCACTGGAGTCACTTTTGACACCTGACTCACTTTGAGCATCCATCCTGCCTCCCGAAGGGAAGTCTCACCCATCAAGCTTTCTCCTGTGCTTAATGTGAAATGCCCCTTAGTCAAGTGCTGCACAGTGTATAGATACTGCTGAGCATGGAGGAAGGAGAAAGGTTCAGCTGGGGATTAACTGAAACAGCAGAAAACCAGAGATTCAAACTGGCCTGAGTGGAGGTATGTGGTTAAACCACGTTATGCTGGTCCATGCCTTTGCCCTTTTCATTTTTACATCTGTTTTCCCATTTCTTGCTGGAAAAGACACAGGAGTGTGTCAGTCTCAGTGTGTTAACTATCTTGGTCAAACACGTTTACTCAGTCATCAGGTATTTGTTAATCTACTATGTAACAAATGTAAATATAAATGAACACAGGATTATTTACCTCTTCTTCCACCCATTAGCTCAGAAAACCAAGGATTAACCAGATGTGTCATCTTTTCTGCCTTATGGGATAATGGATTATTGGGAAGGGATCTTAGCCAGGTTATATATTTTTAAACACAAATCCATGTGTGGATCTATAATTATCTCAAAAGAAAAAAGTTTAAAACATACATAAATCGATAGATAAAATACATATGTATAGACCCCACCACAGATCTATTCCTTGGTATCTTTGGCAGAGACTTAACTCTCAGGCTGAATGGGCCCCAGGGTTGGTCTAGGATAGCATTTCTTATGCATGAATGAGACTCGGCAGCTAAGCAGAGCCAGGACAATAGATGCTGTCACTGCCATTGTGCAACTGGACAGCAATCCAGCAGTATTCGATGTTGCTGCAGCAATTTGGTGTGAAATCCCAAGGCCTGTGAGCGTTCTGAGAAATCCTTTCGCAACTATCTTTGTGTATCAAGTTATGAGGATAGCCTGGCTTTGGGATTCCTGGCAGTGGCCACCCTCACCTTTTGGTCTTCAATGTATTCAATGTCGGCTGTGTTGTAGCCATCCCGCTGGCTCTGATGGAGCACCCTGAAGCGCCTCTTCCCTATGCTGTCAACCACTGAGCGGCCATCGGCAAAGAATTGAACATTTCTGATCTCTAGGATGCAGCCATATTCTGCAAATCTGTTTATTGAGAATGGAGTTGAGAGAATAGATCCTTGATGAGTTCTGTTTCCCCAGCCTGGCCCCCAGCCATTTCTGTAACCCCATGCTGTGACTCAAAAGACTTCTGCCTATTTTCCTGTCCCTGGATTTACAGCTTCAATTACACAACAGGCAGCGCCTGTGTGAAAAAAAAAATCGTAATGTATTTTATAACTGCTACCATTTATTGAGCACATACTATGTGCCAGTGCTATAATTTAATGTTTGTCTTTTAACATTAAACCCACTACAACCCACTTTGAAATTTAATGGCACTGTAGCATTATTAATAGGTAGGACATTTAAGAGGTGATTAGGCCTCCACCCTCATGAATGAATTAATGCTGATATGGTGGAAGTAGAGTAGGGTTGTTATTAATATAAAAGGGCAAGTTTGACCCCCCTCATTGCCCTTCTGCTATGCCCTTCCACTATGTTATGATAAAGGAAGAAGGCCCTTGCCAGATGCCAGCACCTTGATCTTGGACTTCCCAGCCTCCAGAACCATGAGAAATAAATTTCACTTGTTCATAAATTATTTGTCTGTGGCATTCTGTTACAGCAGCACAAAACAGACTTAAGGAAACCAGGAACTGTGCTCAGCATTTTATGTACATTATTAACTCACCAATCTTCCCAACAAACCCAGTGAGGTAGGTACTATTATTATACTCACTTTACAGATAAGGAAACTGTGATACAGAAAGGTTAAATAACTTGCTCAAACTCAAACTTGTTTCAAGGCTGCAATTACAATATGAATGTAGGCAGTTTTGACTCCACAGCCCACACTCTTACAAAATAAGTTTTATATGACTTGTTTAACCAAATATTGTTTTTTTTTCCCTAACCCTAACCCAACTAACCACCAAAGGGACCCTGATCCTTACAAATGCTCATATTCTTCAGTCAGGTAAACCTCATGAGCTAGGACTCCCCATCTCCTGGGAGTACCCCAAAGTAAAACAGAAATCCCTCATTACCCCACCTCCCTTTGCTCACATGGCTCCTCACTCACCCTCTGACAGGATCTCCAAGGCACATGCCAAACTGTCTCGTGCCTGTCTCAATGCATCTACGAATCATCAGGCGGTAACAAGGCTCAAAGATGTGCAGGGGACAAGGAACGGTGGGATAGGCCAGAGTACACACGAAAATAGGCACATTCTTATTAAGGCTGTCAGAAAGAGCAAATGACAGGAATCTCAAACCAATCAGACAGAACACAAAAATGTTGGTCAAATGTTAGCATGTGATACCCCCGGGGGAAGGCAAAGAGACACCAAGTTTGTTTTTTTGACAGCGTCACTTGCCAGAGACATCAAATTTTGATGGCTAATAGCAAAATATTGAAATGCAATTGACAGTGTGGGCTGAGTCCCATTAGCTGATGCAGAGGTTAGCCTAAGTTTTAAGAAATTAAAATTGGCGTTCTACATATTTTAATTTTGCTGAAGAAGTTTCTAGTATCTTAATATTGTGGGTGATAGCTATACCTCATATGTTTTCTTTCTTTCATGCTCTCCACTCAAAACAATCTCTTTAAGAGTTTTGCAGGCTGCATAGGGAAGGTTGCTGATGATAGAAGTAGACTCGGCAATCCAGAGGGATAGTGGGAAATACTCTGCAAGGTCCCTAGGGCATCTCAAATTTGCCAGCCCCTCCCCCCAAAGAATCTGCAAAGGAGACCAAGCTGAAAGGGGGAAGGACCAAGAGATAGGCAAGAGTAATCCAGCCCAGTGATGCTCAAATGCTTCTTGCATCATAATTACCAGGGAGTCTTAAATCAAGATAACTTGGACACCACGTTACCAGAGATACTGATGTGTTAGCTCTGTAATTGGGACCCAGGAGTCTGCCTTTCTTTTCGTTTTGTTTTTTGCTTGTTTGTTTGTTTTTGGCATGGAGTTTCACATGTCATTCTATCGCCCAGGCTGGAGTGCAGTGGCATGATCTTGGCTCACTGCAACCTTCACCTGGATTCAAGCGATCCTCCTGCCTTAACCTCCTGAGTAGCTGGAATTACAAGCGTATGCCACCAAACCTGGCTAATTTTTGTATTTTTAGTAGAGACAGGGCTTCACCATATTGGCCAGGCTGGTCAACTCCTGATCTCAAGCAATCCACGTGCCTCGGCCTCTCAAAGTGGTAGGATTACAGGCATGAGCCACTGCACCCAGCCCTGCCTTTCAATAAGTACCCACAGAGATTTACATATACAACCCATTGGGGAACCAAAACAGAGCCAGCTCCTCTGGGATCATTGTCTTCCTATTTGTCTAGTAAATCCAACACAGGAACATCTGAACCTAAATCTATCAAGAGATATGAGACCACCTGCCCAGATCTCAAAAGGATTAAGTTTAGGATTCATTTACATAGAAAGCCCTAATACATCTCAGTATTTGGTGTTTTTTTTAGATGGAGTTTCACTTTTTGGCAAGGCTGGAGTGCAATGGTACAATATCGGCTCACTGCAACCTCTACCTCCCGGGTTCAAGCAATTCTTTTGCCTCAGCCTGCTGAGTAGCTAAGATTACAGGCATGTGCCACTACATCCGGCTAATTTTGTATTTTTAGAAGAGACGGGGTTTCTCCATGTTGGTCAGGCTGGTCTCAAACTCCAGACCTCGTGATCCGCCTGCCTCTGCCTCCAAAAGTGCTGAGATTACAGGCATGAGCCATGATGCCCAGCCCTCAGTATTTGCTAATAAGACCTTAAATGAGATTTGAGATGAGGCTTAGAGAGGCTCAATGCTAATTTACATATCAGAAATAAAGATAAAGATGCCCTGAGTAGTTCCAATGTAAATTAATGAGAAAAACAGATTTCTAGTTTCTGAGAAAAACATTATTCAAAGTGAGGAGTGCATTCAAACAAGCCACTGGCAGAGTTTATGAATGTTTTCTACACAATGGGCACGAAATCAGAATCATTTTTGCTGTCACGAACCTGTCTGGAATGCTGTTAGGATTCTACTGGGGATGGGGAAAGCGGAGGGCAGAAGCAAGAGAGACAGAAATTAGTGACTGCCTCCTGCTTTTTCTGCTAAGGGAGCTGTTCTTGCAGCCAGGCAGGGCACTGAGAACCTCACTGATGCCTCTGCCCCTCCCCTTTACCTCTCACATTACCTGTACATGGCAGAGAAAGCACTTAACAAGTATTAGCACTATTACCATTAATTAAGCGTTTACTATGCACAAGTTCATTTGATCTTTATAAGTCCATTAGGTGGCCAGGCACGGTGGCTCATGCCTGTAATCCCAGCACTTTGGGAGGCCCAGGTGGGTATTGCTTGAGGTCCGGAGTTCAAGACCAGCTTGGCCAACATGGTGAAACCCTGTCTCTATTAAAAACTAAAAAAATTAGTTGGGCATGGTGGTACAGGCCTGTAATCTCAACTACTTGGATGGCTGAGGCAGGAGAATCGCTTGAACCTGGGAGGCAGAGGTTGCAGTGAGCCAAGATCACACCACTGCACTCCAGCTGAGGTGACAGAGTGAGACTCCATCTCAAAAAAAAAAAAGAAAGAAAAAGAAGTCCATGAGGTAAGAACTAAAATTATTCTCAAGCTACAGATAAGGAAATTAAGGCCCAAAAAGGTTAAGTGACCTGCCTGAAGTAGACTGGTCATGAAGTAGACTCACTTTGAGGTAGAACTTGGTCTTAAGCCTGGTTCTGGTTGACACCAAAGTTCTTAACCTCATAGCGACTCCTTATGTATCTGAAAACAATCTTTTAGATGTTTTGTTAAGTTCCCCTGATTAAGCTACTCCAATTTACTCTTGCCAACATTATCCTGTTACTGGGGCCAGGGCGTATCCTCTGGTTTCACTTATGCTTTTTCAGGAGTATGCTGTTATGTTTAAGAACTGGCTCTCTGGGTGCAGGGGAAACCTTGGTTTGTAGCACTTGCCCATTTCTACGGTGTACTCTCACCATGGCCAACTTCAAGCAATTAGCATGATATCACCAAGTGGGAAGCTTGGGAGAAATGTGCACATTCAGCTCTCATGAGCTTCTATGAATGAAACAAAACAGAAATATGCATATACATACTTAGAAAGTTCTTCCATTTCCTCTTCATAAAGCTTCCTTCGTTCCTTCAGTTCTTCTGGAAGGAATTTAGCTATTAGCTCCTCCATTATTACATTTTTGCTGTATTTTCTTGATGCCAAGCACTATATGGGGGGAGGCAATTAGATAATATGCAGTCATCAGTAAAATACTTCTGATGCAATCAGTATACCTGTTAAATGACCCACATATTGGAGTAATCTGAACCCACAAATTAGCAGCTGATACCATAATAATAATATGTATTTTCTGGATGTTGGAGTTTCATTTAAAAAAAACACATGCAATTGATTATTTTTATAATTAGAAAAAAGTATTTTAACAAGGGGGTAAAACCTGCATTGAAGTTTTTATCACTGAAATCAATTTTCAGTTTTAACACTGAAATCAATATCATGTTCTTGTCCAAAAAGTGGGGGAGGGGGGATTCTTCCCTTTCCATTTTTTGATTATCATGTTTACAAGCTCACAGAAGTGGTCTCTATCTGGGATATGCTCAAAGTTAATGGTCAAAAATTTCAGGGAACTAAACAGCAACTTTCAATTATTGATCCTTTCCTGCCCTGCCCCACTCTCAGCCTGACCCAATGCTTGGCTTCTGGATACCGTCAAGTCTTATTTTTTCTCTTTCAATTTTAGTTTATAAAAACACAAACAGCTAAATATTGGTGATTTCATTTGTCTATTTGCCTTTCTAATATACCATCTAGGTATCACTGAGATTAAAGGTCATGACTTCAAGAACTGGACTCAGGCTCAACTGTCACTGTTACTCTCCTCCCAAACACCCCTACCAAATGCATGCCCAGGGATGCTTAAGTAGTGGGTATTTAACAGTGTCAATCAAACAAGGCAATACATCTGCAGAGAATTGCTCGCTATGGAAATTACCGCTACAGACCCAGCAGGGGGAGCGCCTGAGTTGGCTTCAGAAAATTTTGTTCCTTTCTTAGTATGGGCTGTGTCTATTCTGCAGTTAATATGATTGGAATACTTAATTCTATGTAAAATGGTGCAAGTGTGACCCTATGTGAATACACAGAGATAGATGAGAATATCTTCTAGCCCCCGAGTCTAAGACCCTGTAGCATCTGTCTCCAGGATGCCTTATCTGCCACTGCCATTCCCTGGGTATGGGAGAATCAACTGCATTTCCCAATCCCACTTTTGGGGGATAAGCAGTGACTGAGGAGGTAGCCAGTCCAAAAAGTAGGTGACTCCTCTGCTGATTTTAAAATAAAAGGCCAGAAAAGGCACATACTAAAATGTTAAGTAACAATGATTTTCTCTAGGTACTGAGCATATGGGTAGATTTTTCTTCTTTCCACTTAACCTGAATTTTCCCATGCTACAACACAAATGTATTATTTAATTTAAGGACCATGGACTTCTCACCTGCAATCAGGCCAGCAAATCCTACTCCTTCATCTAGGGAAAGGTGTGACATTGACCCTCCTCCCAATCCCAACGCATACCCTCAGGGCTACCAGTGATGATCATTTCACTGCATTCCCTTAATTTAAATACTGGGGTGATGGTAAAGCTCAACATGTGACTTTTCCGGATCTGTAGTCACCTAGAGATGGCCTTGCATCTCCAATCTCCCCTCAGGAATGACAGGGGGCAAGGAACATTAACACCAATTGTAAAATGTGGCACACAAATCCCTGAGGGAGGGAAAACAAGATGGATTCTCAGGTCTTTTTTTTCTATAGGAAATCCTTCCAGTTCACTTAATAAACAAAGATGGTAGTCTGTGTGATTAGTTTTAGAGAATCTGGAAGCCCTAGAGGGCTGCTATCTGCTAAACTGGCTTACTGCAACAGCTCTAGGGCTTCCAGATACAGTGACTCCTGACGGGCTGGATAACTATGAAGTTCTGTTAGGTTCTTCAGGGGCCTTGGGAGCTGTTATCTTCAAGTCACAGAATAAACACTGATGATAGGGAACATCAGGGCTGATCTAGTCCAATCCTGGAGGGGACAAAAGATTTACTTAAGATTATAGTGTATCAGGTGCCACAATGAGATTAGAAACAGGATCTATGCATATCACCTATTTAATACTTTTGTTTCTGACCCAAATTAATTTCCATATTTACACTGCATAAAAAGTTACATATTGCCTCATTTTCCTAAAGGACTTTATGGAGAGGGGGACAGTGGCTATAAGACAGGAGACATAGGCCTGGCACGGAGGCTCATGCCTGCAATCCCAGCACTTTGGGAGGCTGAGGTAGGTGGATCACCTGAGGTCAGGAGTTCGAAACCAGCCTGACCAATATGGTGAAACCCCACTGCTACTAAAAATGCAAAAATTAGCTGGGCATGGTGACGGATGCCTGTAATCCCAGCTACTCAGGAGGCTGAGACAGGAAAATTGCTTGAACCCAGGAGGCGGAGGTTGCAATGAGCTGAGATCGCACCACTGCACTTCAGCCTGGGTGACAGGGCGAGACTCTCTGTCTCAAAAAAAATAATAAACTATAGGAGAAATAGATGATTCGAGGGAGTAACGTGCCCTACCACAGTGCAGTGGCTTGGGGTCCAAGTGAACACTGTCTTAGTGCCCAATTTCAAACAAGCTAAACCAAACAAGAAAGAAATACTGATTTAAACCAAACAAGAAATATTGATTTACCTGTGAAAGACCGTCTTTACACAGTGGACACTTTGCGTTGTGATCTAGGCATCTTTCCAGGCATTTTAAGCAAAAAGTATGCCCGCAAGGTGTTGTGACTGGCTCATAGAATAATCTGAAATTTAGGAATCAAAATGGAAGAAAACTGCAATAAGACCAAAAATAAAAGAGTGACTCAAAGCTAAGGTTTTAAAACATCATTTAGAATATTTTAGGGTGGGGGAGGAGTTCTTTTTCAAAAATCACTGTTGTACTTCAGATAAACATTTGCCTTTCATTTTTAAGCTGGATTATAATAATACATTTATTAATGTTTAGGGCATAGGTAGATCATTTTGTAACACTGATTCTAGTCTATCTCTTCTGGGAAATTCAGATTTTTTGCCCTGTCTGGTCTAAGAAAAATAGAGATTAATGCAGAGTGTCTGGATGAATTCCATTCTGAAAATATTTAGCCAACCTGTTCATCTGAGTATATGTAAACACACAGATATACACACACACACAAACACAGACACACACACTCTGTCTCTCTCTCTCACATTTACCCATTTAAGCACTTTATATCCTATTACCATGGAAAAAAACTTTGCTAAGCTTGATTCCTTTTTTCATCTATGCAATGTCAATGCCTGAAGGATCTCAAAATTGTTTAATTTTTATAGAGGCAGGAGAATAGTATTGTTGGTGTGCTTACTGATAGAGACTAGATATGGATCTATATTGATGCAAATACACCCATATATACATACACTTACATGTGTACATACATACACTTCAATTCAGTACTATTTTAATTGCTTCCAGAGAGCAGGATGTTTTCAAAGCAATCTGGGAATCCTTTTATAAAGCTGTTCTGTGCCTTCAGAGATTCATGGATTTGCTTTAAAAAAAGGCTCACCTGCAGCGAGATCAGTGAGTGAGGGTAGCTGAAGATGACCGTTGAGGAGTAGGGCTTGCACTCACCAAGAGGAGCAGCACAGGAAGAAGGGAAAGGCCCCTGCCTGACCAGCCTATTTTGACCTCACAAGAGTGTTCAGTGGCGACTAAGAGGCTGCCAGCTGCACGGCTCCCTCGTGTGGCCAGGAGGTGCACCAGCAGCCTGGCCAGCACTGCCAGGCTAAGTAGAAGAATCAACATGTCAGTTGAAAAGTACTGGAGAAGAAATTGAACCCACTAACCAGAATGAACCTGAGGTCCACAGGGGTTGCAATCACTTGTCTAACTGTGCACAGCCAACTGTTAACAGATGAAAGTCTAACCAACTGCCACTTCCAGTCATGTCCCTTTTCTATTACAACAATAATTCTCTTTTTAAATTTTTTTAGTAGAGACCGGGGTTTCACCGTGTTAGCCAGGATGGTCTCGATCTTCTGACCTCGTGATCCGCCCGCGTCGGTCTCCCAAAGTGCTGGGATTACAGGCTTGAGTCACAGCACCCGCCCGACAACAGTAATTCTCAACTATTGCTGTGCATTAGAATCACGTGGTGAGCTTTACCTTTAAAAAGCCTTATTGGCCGGGTGCGGTGGCTCCCGCCTGTAATCCCAGCACTTTGGGAGGCCGACGTGGGGGGATCACGAGGTCAAGAGATCGAGACCATCCTGGCCAACACGGTGAAACCCCGTCTCTACTAAAAATACAAAAATTAGCTGGGCATGGTGGGGTGTGCCTGTAGTCCCAGCTACCTGGGAGGCTGAGGCAGGAGAATTGCTTGAACCCGGGAAGCGGAGGTTGCAGTGAGCCAAGATGGCGCCACTGCACTCCAGCCTGGCACCTGTCGACAGACCAAAACTCTCTCTCTCTCAAAAAAAAAAAAAGCTTTATCGATGCAAAATTGACATATAATAAATGGGACAGACTTAAAGTGTACAATCTGATAAGTTATGACATATGTACACACTTATGAAACCATCGCCACAATCAAGATAGGTATGTTTCCTATCACTCCTGAATGTTTCCTCTTGCCCCTTTTTAAGCCCTCCTTCCTGCCTCCCCCAATCACCTGGGGAACTTATAAGAACTCTAGATGCCCAGTAGGGCACCTACAGAGATTCAAATCAGTAGGTCCAGCATACAGGGCAGTCATCAGGAATTTATTATTTTTTTTGAGATGGAGTCTCACTCTGTAGCCCAGGCTGGAGTGCAGCAGTTCGATCTTGGCTCACTGCAACCTCTGCCTCCAGGGTCCCAATTCAAGCAATTCTCCTACCTTAGCCTGCCAAGTAGCTGGGATTATAGGCACAAGCTAATGCCTAGCTAATTTTTTTATTTTTATTTTTTCAGTAGAGATGGGGTTTCACCATGTTGGCCAGTCTGGTCTTGAACTGATTTCATGATCCTCCCGCCTCGGCCTCCCAAAGGCATCAGGAATTTTTTAAAGCCTCATTGTGGTTTTAATGTTGAGCCAAGGTTGAGGATCACTGTATTATACAATCCCATTAATCTCTGCATAGGCAAACTTTTTGTATTGGTCTTTAAATATCAGTTACCTGTGGAGCATAAAAAAAAACATACATGGTGAAGCTCCAGAGTTCCAGATTCAGCAGGTCAAGGAAACAAGCAGAGATGGAATATTTTTAACAAGCCAGTGGAGGTCTGGAGTAAGATAGAGACTTTTCATATTATTTACCTTTTTGGTATTTTTTGAATTTTATGATTCTGTTTAAAAAGTACTTTAACAAATTAATTAAAATTAATAAATTGTAGTTATCAAATTAGCCAAAAAGCAAAGTTAAAAAAAAAAACTATTCCTGATGGAGGTCCCAGTGCACTAAGGCAAGAAAAAAATATATGAGAACTGGAAAGGAAAAAACCAAATCTGTCATTATTCCCAAATGATATGATGATGAAGTTGCAAAATCTAAAAGAATCTACAAATTATTATTAGAATAAGAATTAACAAGGTTACTAGATAGACACACACGTGCACATACAATTATAATTCCATATACCAGCAATAAACATTAGAAATGCCATCATCTTAAAGATAACATTTACAACTGTTTTTAAAAATCAAGTGCCCGGGAAGAAATCTTACAACAGCTGTAGGAGACCTCTATTGGAAAAAGCTACAAACACCTCATGGAAAGAAATTAAACAACTAAGTAAGTCCCAATAAAAAATCTCAAGCTACTTCATTTGTTTGTTTTCGTGGAACTTCACAAGTTGATTTCTAAACTTTATAAGAAAAAGCAAAGGGTCAAGAGCCAAGATATGTCTGAAGAGCAACGATGTGGGAGGACTCACTCTACCAGATAACAGAACATATAAAGCTGTGGTGATTAAAACAGTATATGACTAGCACAAGGACAAATAGACACATGGAATAGAATAGAAAGCCCAGAAACAGACCCAGACGTGGATTCTTGATTTATGACAAATGTGGCACTTCAAAGCAGATGGGGAAAAGATTTTCAATACATAAATAGCATTCTCAATAAATGGTATTAGGAGAGTTGGCTATCTATAGGGAGAAATGGAATTGGAGCATGTCTCATATCATCTGCAAAAATCAATTCCATGTGGGCTGTAAAAATAAATGTGAAAAGCAAAACAATAAAACTTTCAGAAGATGAAACAGCCAGGCACAGCTGCTTGCATCTCTAATCCCAGCTACTTGGTGGGGAGGGCTGAGGCAAGAGGATCACTTGAGACCAGGAGTTTGAGACCCCGAGTCTCAAATAAATTAATTAGTTAAATAAAAGTAAATAAAGATAAAATAGGAGAATATCTTTGTGACCTGAAGGTAAAAAAATGAATTGCGACACAAACCCTACTTATAAATGAAAAGATTGATAATTTTGACTGTATTAAAATGAAGACCTTTTGGCTGAGAGCAGTGGCTCATGCCTGTAATCCCAGCACTTTGAGGCTGAGGCGGGTGGATCATCTGAGGTCAGGAGTTCAAGATCAGCCTGGCCGACATGGCAAAATGCAGTGAAAATTAGCCAACCATGGTGGCACATGCCTGTAATCCCTGCTGAGGAGGCGGAGACAGGACAATCGTTTGAATCCAGAAGGCAGAGGTTGCAGAAAGCAGAGATAGCACCACTGCACTCCAGCCTGGGTGACAGAGCAAGACTCCCTCTCAAAAAAAGGAAGAAGTGCTTTTAAAAGTTCATCAAAAAATGTCATTAAGAGGGCAGAATGGCAAGCCAGAGTAGAAGAGAGTATCTGCAACACACATGACTATCAAAGAACTTGTATCTAGAGCATACATAGAGCCCCTAGAAGTCAGTAAGAAAAAGAGGGAAGCCAATAGAAAATAAACATTTATATGCACCAGCAGGTGTAAACAATGAGGTCAAGAGATCGAGACGATCCTCGTTAACATGGTGAAACCCCATCTCCACTAAAAATACAAAAAATTAGCTGGACATGGTGGCATGTGCCTGTAATCCCAGCTACTCAGGAGGCTGAGGCAGGAGAATTGCCTGAACCCAGGAGGCGGAGGTTGCGGTGAGCCGAGATCGCGCCATTGCACTCCGGCCTGGGTAACAAGAGCGAAACTCCGTCTCAAAAAAAAAAAAAAATGTTGCCCATGATATCCCCTAACTAAATACAACTCAAACATCCATCCATAAGAGAACTGATAAACAGACTGTGAAAGATTCATACAGTGGGATACTATATAATAATGAAAATTAACAAACGTCACCAACATGCAATAACTTGGATAAATCCTAATATTGAGTAAAATAAGCCAGATTGAAAGAATAAACTCTGGATAATTCAGTTTATATAAAGCTTTTACACAGGCAAAACTAGGCTGCATCGCTTAGAGATACATATATGGGTAGTAAAGCTATAAAGAGAAACAAGATAGTGGTTCACAATAAGGAGAATAGTCTTGATTGGGAAGAGGCATAGGGGCAGCTTCTTGGGTCCTGGCAATGTTTTATTTCTTGAACAGACATGGGTTACATAAGTATCTTCTCTACAATATTTTGTTAAGAGAACATATTTATACTTTCTGCACTTTTCCACTGTGTATATTTCACAATTTAAAATGTTTTGCAAAAGTGTGATTTGGAACCACTGCTGTGATCTAATTATCAAGCAGCTAAGCCAAAATATCTCATTTCCTTGGCAACTTAGTCCTGTGAATCTGAA